AGGAGTAGGAAGGTATGGCAGGCACGTACCTGTTGCTCTCAGTCACAACCAAAATAAACTCATAGAATCTTAGGATCCAAATTCTAGATGGTGAATGTGGCATAGAGATCATTTTTCTACTGGACATTCTATTGGAAATATAGTGAATGGGGCTTCTGAATTTCTTTCCTTCTGCTAAGAAAAATTATTCAAAACACGAATAAAGAAAAAATGATTTATGGGACTTTTTCATGTCAAGCTAGGCATATTTTCTAACAGGTCCACTTAAACATAATCTCATTCCAAAAATGGAATGTTACTTTGTTTATACAATTAATCAGGATTTAAACTTTTTACAGTTCTGCAAAACTACTAAGTCTTTTCTGTTTGGTAGAGAAGGTGATCTTCAACCAAAAGTTTTTTAAAAATAATAATGCTATTAAATCAGACATTAGCCAGTTTTGTATTTAACTCAGAACTTCTTTTTATTCCTATAAAAAAATCCTACTGTTTCATTTGTCTTTTGAACCAGTTTTGTTTATATCTGGATCCCTCATTAATGGATTAAATAATCTTTGACACATATATATCTATTTTGAGAATTATTTTTTTATCATTTGGAGAATTATCCTTCCTTTATTTCCCTCATTTTCTTCTTCTCTTCCTTCCTAAGTGTCTCTCTTCACCGCCCCCTCCGTCTATTCCCCCTCTCTTTTCTTCTCATCTCTTTCTCTCTCTATCCCCCTTCTCCCCCTGCTCTTCTCTCTTTCAAAGACCCTCTCTTCTTTCTTCCTTCGTTCTCTCTTTCATCTCTCTGCTTCCCTCATTTTGTATTTTCTCTTCTCTTTCTTTCTCCTCCCCTTTCTTCTATCCCTCCCTCCATCAAATGGTGTGTGCCTGACTGGAATGCCAGAGCAAGATGAAGAAGAGAGACATAATGGGACAATGTAAATATTACAAGAAAGAAAGGATGGGTTTTTTCCAAAAGTCATGACAAACACCAAACCACAGATCCAAGAAGCTCAAAGAACACTAATGGAGTACATACCAAAAAACCCACATGTAAGCATATTATATTCAAACTTCAGGAAACCAAAGACAAAGAGAAAATTTTACAGGCAACCAGAAGAAAAAATGCACCTTACCTATGAGGAACAAGGGTAAGTATCATAACACACTTCTCTTAGAAATTATGCAAGCAAGAAAAAAATGGAGGGACATCTTTTAAGTGTTGGAAGAAAAAACTGTCAAGCAAGAATTCTATATACAGCAAAGACATCATTCAAAAGTAAAGCAGAAATTGTAATAGTGATGTATGGTGACAGATGGTAGCTATACCTGTAATGAGCATAGCATAATGTATAAGGGTCTCACAGAATCCTAAGATCAGGACCTGAGCAGAAATCAAGAGATGGATGTTTAACCAACTAAGCCACCCAGGTGCCCCAGCACAGAAAATTATTCTGGCAAGAAACAGAATCTTTGCTGTCTAGGCAGATTACACAGAAAGTAAAGAACAACATTTTATATTGTAGACAGTCATTAATGAATAAGCCAAAGAGACAAGCCCATCAAACCTGAATGAACTTACTAATATTTTAACACACTTCATAGCATCCTTTAAGACTGTGGAATTATAAATGAAGGCAAGTAAAATTCACTTTCCAAGTGTTATCCTTCATTTTGCTCTTTGACATTTTATTTTATTTTATTTATTAATTTTTTATTAATTTTATTTTATTATGTTATGTTAGTCACCATACATTACATCATTAGTTTCTGATGTAGTGTTCCATGATTCATTGTTTGTGCATAACACCCAGTGCTCCGCGCAATACGTGTGCTCTTTCATATTTTAAAACAAACTGACACTATACCGGAGGACAGCAAGTCTCTCTGAGGGGGTCCACAGGTCAAAACAATACCAAGATGTTATTTATGCAAATATGCCATGCTCTCATCATTGTTATCTTCAAATGGATCCATAAATATTTAAAAATTTCCTCAGTCTCAACCTCCACTATGGTAAATATAAATAAACCTTGCCCACATAAACAAAGCTCTTTGGGGTCCTCAATAAAAGATTAAAGAAAAAGTAACCTGAGAACCACTGTTTTTGGACAAAATTACTTTATTCCCTAAAAAAACAAAAGCACACACACAATTGTATTTCTCTGTCATTATTTATCCTAGTCTGAACCACTCATATTTAAAAAAAAATTTTTTTAAGATTTTTATTTATTTAAGAGGGGGTTGTGGATTGAGGGGCAAGGAGGAGGAATCTGAAGCAGACTCCATACTTAGCACAGAGCCCGACATGGGGTTGGATCCCACCACAGGGAGATCATGACCTGAGCCCAAACCAAGAGTCAGCCGCTTAACTGACTGCACCACCCAGGTGCCCCAAACCACTCATACTATTTCTAATTTTTAACCAAAGTAACTAGCGTCTATTTCACAGAGAAAACTGGTGGTGGGGAAGGAGACAGTTGAGAACTGTCTCTCTCATACCAGCACTTCAGCAGACCAGCAAAACTTTCAATACAACTTCCTACAAACCTGGTACATCCCTTTTACACCTTTTAAAAAGTGACAGAATGGGGGCACCTGGGTGGCTCAGCTGGTTAAGCATCCGACTCTTCATCTCAGCTCAGGTCTTGATCTCAGGGTTTTGATCTCAGGGTTTTGAGATCAAGTCCCACGTTGGGGTTCCATACTGGGCATGGAGCCTGCTTAAAAAAATTAAAAGTGACAAAATGAACATGTTCATTAAAGTGACTCTAAGTCAGGATATCTCCATAGCATGTAAAAATAGAAATAAAATTTATATATGTTTACAATTATGCTTAGTCACCTCTGTTGCAAGATTGTGACTATCCATTAAATTTTAATGAAGTCCAAGATTTCAAGACCTTGGCAATTACTTCAAACTGACATACAAGGGTGCCTGGGTGGCTCAGTCGTTAAGCGTCTGCCTTCCGCTCAGGTCATGATCCCAGGGTCCTGGGATGGAGCCCCGCATCGGGCTCCCTGCTCCGCGGGAAGCCTATTTCTCCCTCTCCCACTCCCCCTGCTGTGTTCCCTCTCTCACTGTCTCTCTCTCTGTCAAATAAATAAAAAATTAAAAAAAAAAAAACAATTGACATACAAAAGACATAATTACTATTGAAATAAAGTTTTTCAGAATAATGACTCAATTTAATTGAGCAAAAACTTACATTTTTAAATATCTTAACCATTATGTGGGAAGTAATGTTAGGTTTTTTTTTTTTTAAAGATTTTTCATTTATTTATTTGACAGAGAGAGACACAGTGAGAGAGGGAACACAAGCAGGGGGAGTGGGAGAGGGAGAAGCAGGCCTCCCGCTGAGCAGGGAGCCCGATGCGGGGCTCGATCCCAGGACCCTGGGATCGTGACCTGAGCCGAAGGCAGATGCTTAACAACTGAGCCACCCAGGCGCCCCAGTAATGTTAGTCTTGATCCCAAGGGCTATGTACCTGGATCTGCAAGTTATTCAGCTAGTTGCTCTAACAAGCCCTAAATCTCATTAACTTAATGCAAGAAGGTTTATTTCTTACTTACATGAGACACAAGCTGATGTTCCTGTCCTAACCTAGCTACAAGAGTTATTAGGAAATGTAAATCTTGTATGCCCAAGAGAAAGAAATAGGGTTGGCGAACACTTAGCCAGTTTCTGTCACGATGCCTTCATTCTTTTCTTTTTTTTTTTTTTAAGATTGTATTTATTTATTTGAGAGAGAAAGCACGAGCAGGGGGAGGGGCAGAGGGACAAGCCGACTCCATGCTGAACCCGATGTGGGGCTTGATCCCAGGACCCTGAGATCAGGACCCAAGCCGAAGTCAGATGCTTAACCGACTGAGCCACCCAGGCATCCTTCTTTTTCTTTTCATCGCGATCTCTTTTTACTGTCCTGATATAAAGACAAATAACAGTTGCAACATGCTTTTAATTAATTTTGAAGCAGGACTATGCTTTCCTGAATGTGACACTATTTCCAAACTGGACCTCATGGATATTTCTGCTAAGGGGGTTTTGCACACCATTTCACGGGTTTCGCAGAAACCCTCTAATCCTAGTTATGGACCCTAGGTTAAGATTAATGACCTTTCCTATAAAGAGGCAACCAGGGGTCCCAGTTTATATCCAGGAACACCAGCCCAGACCTTCCCAAGGAGACCAACCCACCTCAGACTCAATGGGACCCCTAGCATGTGGTTTAAGCTTCTCAGGGCTGAACCCATAATCCCCATATTAGTTTCCTAGGGCTGCTGTAACAAAGTACTACAAACTAGATGGCTTAATACAACAGACATTTATTCTCTCACAGTTCTGGAGGCCAGAAGTCCAAAATCAAGGTGTCAGTGGGTGTCATGTTCTCTCTGAAGGTGCTAGGGGATGACTATTGCTTAACTCTTCCTAGCTTCTGGTGATTGCTGGTAGTCCTTGGTGTTCCTTGGCTTCTAGAAGCATTATCCCAATCTCCACCTCCATACGTGGCATTCTTCCTGTGTGTCTGTGTGTGACTTCACATACCGTTCTCCTCTTTGTGTCTGTGTCTCTGTTTTCTCTTCTTATAGGATGCTAGCCATTGGATTAGGACCCACCCTAGTCCGGCAGGACCTCATCTTAAGTAATTGTATCTGCAAAGACCCTGCTTCCAAATAAGGTCGCATTTTGAGGCTCTGGATGGACATGAATTGGGGGGTATGTACTATTCAACCCAGTACAATACCATATCCTTCTTCTCACCCTTAATGCACCCCATGCACATAGTCTTCTGGGACACCTCCGACAGGAAGCCAGCCTCTTCCTGGATCTGCTCTTTTTCCCCAACCTTAAGTCTTAAAGAAAATTCAAGATCTTCCCATGCTCCCTGTTGACCTGTCGCACCTGCTAGCACCTTAAGGTCTGGTTTTGCTTCCTCTTATTCATAGGCCAGGACTGGGGACATGCAAGGAGCTGTCTTGGATCCTTCTTTTAAGGAGGTCCCTCTTTCCTTCATGTGCCCAGCTTCATGGCGAGCCATGCTGTAGGGAGAGTGGAGTGGGGGCAGCACCAGACCCTTATGAGTCCCATTCTTCTTTACCCTCGTTCTATCCCTCACAGCCCTGGAGGCTGAAACCCAGGATAGGAGCACTTCCAGGGGAGAACATAGGGTGGTGGCTCAGTCAGTGATAGGGAGTGAGCATATGTGTTGGGATGAGACCAGTGTATGAGTGATGAAGAAGAACCCAGCCTGGGTCATCTGGAACCTCCCAGAAGCCCATTTTTTATTTTTCCTGCTGTGCCTTCTCCCCATAAGGGCCCAGCTCATTGTTCCTTCCCTCCCTTTCCTCTTTTCTTCTAAAATTGGACAAGGAGATCAGACCTCAAATTTTTCACTCCAAAAAACAAATAAATTCAAATAAATGAAAGGACCAGCAGGACAATGGGGCACGGGAGTGGAAGGCACAACCTGGAAGTGGTCACACATCACCCTCTCATGCCCAAATCTCATCTGGGCACAGTCTTAAAGTCATGCCTCACTGCAAGAGATGCTGGGAAATGTAGTCTTATTTTGGATGGGCTTGAGCCCATCAGAGATTCTATTACTAAAGAAAGAAGGGGTAAATAGATGTAAGGGGTTCTATTACTAAAGAAAGAAGGGGTAAATGGATGTAAGGGAACAATTAACAGCATCTGCCATGGGGATCGACCCCCGGGGCGGATAAGGAAACAAAAGAAAAACTGCAAACAGCACCGTTGATATTCAAGCTGACGCACTCATTGTTATGAATGTCTGGGATAGAGAGTGGGGTCCTAGAAAGGTTCCTGGACATGGCAGAGATGAATACTTTGGGCATCTTGCTGCTTTTGTTCACATGCTTCCAGATGATAAAGCTCACCAGGACAGATATGTGGTAAACAGGAAGAGGGTGAGGACCTCTCAGATCTCCAGGTCACCGGGAAGAAGGAACTGTACTTGGCCATGGATCCTGGCTACAGAGATCCTGGGACTCAGGTTCTTGTAACCCGAATACCTTTGGATTAAAATCCCTGGGGGTTGGATCCCACGTGGGAGCTCGCCAGGGCTGTGGAGCTTATGTAACTTCTAGTCTCCTCTGAGCTCGCCATTGAGTGCGGTGTCTTCATCCTTTCAGTCCCTCTTCACGAACGCCCGCATCCTCCACGTTTGTCCTCCAAGAACATGTCCAAGGTCATGGACGTTCTAGGGTCGGGTGAGAACCAGGTTTGCGTTCTGCCTCTGCTCCTTTTTCTGGGGAGTGTGATCTGGAACAAGACACCTAAATTCTTTGACCCCCTGTTTCCACTTCCATAAAATAAGAATACCTGTAACAGTACCTCCCTTGCCAAACCTGGGGGTTAGTACGGATTAAATGTATTTAAAGCCATCAGCATGGTACCATTACTGTCATTCAACAGCCAACTCTCTAACCTGGGCTTCTCAGCCCTTTGAAATCTGTTCTCAGGGAAGAATTTGCTGTAAGTGCGGCTGATGGCTAGGGCAGGGAGGCTGAGCAAGGCTGAGTGCAGGCTGCGGTAGGTGGCAGGTCATGAGCAGACTACAGGACGGACTGTCAATGGGTGCTGGACTAGCAGAGAGAAGAGGTGGGGGCTGCCCATTCCTGAGCCTCTTCTGTGCTAAACTCCTGACTGTCATACTCTCAGGGATCTTCACGTCTTTGTGCATCATTCCCATTTTACACACAAACAGACTGAGGCTCGCCCAGGTTACTGGGCTCTCAAGGGCAGAATTAGAATTAGCATGCCTGTTTGCCTCTCTAGGAACTCTTTCCCACCAGTGACTTGCCTGGGGGGTCCTCTCCATGTTGGGGGAAGGTTTGGGGATGGGACCAGCTGGTAGGTATCAGAGAGGGGTAAGAATGAGGGAGACTGAGTGGAGTGAGAGGTTCCTGCTGCTGAAACGGAGGTTTGGGAGGGTAACTGCTTACTGTTTTTCTCCGGTGGGTGGAGCCATGGCCTACCGAATTTTCAGGAGCACCATGGTGACCAAGAGTCCCCAGGGAGGGGGCAGAATCCAAAGCACTGTCTCCCTAGCTGAAGCCCCAAATCAGTGGGCTGGGGGAGACACCAGCCATCCTTCCTTCTGTCCTCAGAGTCCTCCGCTCAGCTGAATTGAACAGTTCCCCTAAGTTTCCATTACCACCTTGTTTGCACTGCTTGGCACTTTTTCTAGGGGCTGGGCGAGAGCCCTAGTGCCTGCCTCTCTCCTCCGGGAAGCCCCGTGACTGCAGCCTCTGACCTTTTTATTCTGTTTCTAGGTAAGGGAGGCAGTTATCTGATCTCTGCACCCAATCCAGGAAGAATGAGCTGGGAGAGCATGTATGAGGCCGGGTTGGTGGACTGAGAAAAAAAGAGAGAGCTAAGAAGGGTGAGAAGAAAGAAAATGTTCTTCCTGGCCTCCTCCTCATCCCCCATGGGCCACTATTCATAACAAACAATTACATAATCAGCTCTATCCAAATCCGCAGGAGCCAGAAGGGGAGGGATCTGGGCAAAGGACATGTGTCAGTAAGAAAGGAACAAAGAAAGTGATCTTAAGGTGACAGAAATCAAGAGAGAGAAAAAATATCAGAGAGATGGGGGGAGGAGGGGATGGGAGGGAGGGGTCAACTAGGACCCAGAAAAACAGGAAGAAGGAATCAGAAAAACATATAAGATGGAGACAGAGCCTAGGAGGGAAAGACACAGTCAGACATTCTTTTTCTAGTCCGTGTTACGTGTCGGGTCCTGACAGACCAGATCCCTTGGAGTCCCAACCACAAGCCTCAGTGACAAGGGCACCAGTTAACACTTACAGAACCCTGACTACGTCCCGGGATGGTCTAAGCACCAGCACACACCCACCAGGTGCCACAGCAACCCCACGCGGTAAGGACAGTTATGATCTCCATTGCACAGAGGAGGAGACTGAGGCATGAAGAGGGTTAAGTCAAGGTCACCAGCTAGGAGTCAGGAGTCGACACCCAGGCATCTGGCCCCGATCTGCCATTTTAAGTTCTCCACTCCCAAGAAAGAGCTGGGGACCCTAAAGATGTGGCCTCTAAATTTGAAGAAGGGTTCTTGGCCTTGAGTCCAAAGAGTGATGGAAGGAGCCTCTGAAAGCCCCAAATGATCATGCATCGTGGGGATCTGTCATGCCCACCGGAGACACTGAGTTCAAATACCTTGGATAGGTACAGCTAGAAGGTACAGCCGGAAGGTACAGCTCTAATTGATTCCCAACATGGTTATTGTGCACCCTACTACATGTTGAACACTGTTTGAAAGGATGGGGATCCACAGAGACCAAAGCAAACAATTGCAACAACAATGAATAAATCAGTGAGAATCTCTGTCCTCGGAGATATTATTTGAATGGAGAGAGTCATTGATCCCAGTCTCTTGCCTCAGGCCTTTTGCCCTTGCTGTGCCCTCTGCCAGGAATGCTTCTCCCCACACCTTCCCGCAGCTGACTTTCAGAAGTCACCTCCTCCAAGAAGCCTTCCCTGACCACCCAATCCCCAGCAGCCCCCATCAGTCAGTATCCAACATAGTTCCTTGTTTAATTTTCTTCGTGGTGTTTATCACTAGCTGAAGTCATCGTATTGATTCAGTAGGCTGCTCGCTTTTCGTCAGCCTCACCTGCTAGCATTTACAGCCTTCATGAGGGGAGGGATTTTGATTTTCATGTTCTTTTTTTTCCCTTTAGATTTATGTATTTATTTTTGAGAGAGAGAGAGAGTGCGCACGCCTGTGAGCAGGGGTGGGGGGCAGAAGGAGAGAGAGAGAGAGACTCTCAAGCCAACTCCACGCTGGGCACAGAGCCCGACGTGAGACTCAATCTCACGACCCTGAGATCATAACCGGAGCTGAAATCAAGAGCCAGCTGCCCAACCGACTGAGCCACCCAGGCGCCCCTGATTTTCATGTTCTTTGCTACAGCCCCTATGCCTACATTAGTATGTAGTCTGTGCTCACTAAATCGTTGTCGATTTGTATTGACAACAGACTCATGTGTAAACTCCCCCTGGACCACGAGAGGCGCTATCTGCCTTCCTCCTAAGTATTAACTCAGTTAATCTCCCCGCAGGCCTTGGAGGAGGGGACTGGATGGGGACAAAGAGCTTAAGAAACTTGCTAGGATTCACAGCACTGGATGATTCGAACTCAGGCACAAATACAGAAGCTAAGAAAACACAGAACGAAGGTTAAGAACCAGATCCCCAAATATGGTGCATTAACAGAGTAAAGCATGCCAGGCTGGAAATACTTTTGGGAGGGAAACTTCCTTCCTTAGATTTCACCAGAATATTACAGTGCTGGGTGCTGGGAACACAGCAGTGACGTCTGCCGCCCATCGCCTCCCCTCACAGTGTTCCTGGTGGAGGGACAGCTCTTCCCCGGGGCGGGAGGCCCTCTCTCCAGGTCTCGCTCCTGCTGACAGCAGGCTCATGGACTCTCATCCCAGCCCTCAGCCCTCCCAGCCTTGCATTTCCCGGCTGAGAGAGGCATGGCTGGGGAGGATGGGAGTGAAACTGCCACTCAGCTCAGGAGACACCTCTGAGGAAACCAGGGGAGGGAAGAGATGGACAGTGACAGGAGGGCGTGAGACAGGAGGGCACGGAGGAACAGCGAGAGGTTGGCTGTCCAAACACCCTGCCATCTCACCATGTGGGCCCAAGCCCTCTGCCTGTGCCTCCGGTCTCAGCCCTGACCCCTCTGGACTGTTGCTCTTGAGGGCAGGTTTGTCCCTCCGACCCGACTGTGTGCTCTGTGAGGACACGAACCCCGGCCCATCTCAGTCTTTGCTGTGTCCCCGCTGCTCCCCAATAAATACTAAGGGTCAGACAACTTGAAAGTAGACAGCAGGCTGCTGGAACATTCCAGGGGAGAGGTGAGGAGGCCTGAGTTGGGGCTGGAGAGGTGCGCTAGGGTGAAGGCAGCTGACCCTCTTTTTTCCTCCTCCCCCTCCTCCCCTTGCTCCTCCTCCCTGCTCCCTCACACCCCCTTCATCTCTCCGCAT